GTATGAGGAACTATTTTTTTTTTCAAAAGGCGCGGGGGGGGGGGGCACCATTTCGATTTAAAAATTGGGGGACTCTTAAGCTTCACCTTTATGATTTGAATGCGGCAACAATATCCTGTCCTATAGTACGTACCTCGAACACTTTGTGCGTGAAACCTTTTCGAACTTGTTATGCACCCACTATTTGGCCTTAAGGTGATAAGTGCAGTAGCGAGTGTGTCTTGGCTACGCCACAGTGGAGCACTCCGGAAATGTCGACAACCTGGGGTTCTTTACATGCACTGACATAGCGCAGCACACAGGCATCTATAGCCTTTCTCCCCCATCTAAATGCGTCCGCAGCGGTGGGGATCTAAACCGCGATCTCCGGGTCTGCAGCCTGGCATAGTAATCACTGTAACACATCGGCGGACTCGTTCTCAGAACTTCGTGACTATATACGGTTCAAGCGAAACCATCAAATCGCATTCGAATGCTGTATACACTTCGTATTCGGCTTTCTTCGGATACCGCGGGGTGCAGTCCATGCCGCGTGCGTTTGAACTCGAACCCACCCGCTGCCCTTATGGAAATATTGTGAAAGATATCATTGCTCTGTCGAAGCGATTCCGTCGGCGCTACCCTAGGTGCTGTTAATCAAGTGCGCGCGATACTCTCGCCACATGTTATGTTCGCTTAAACGAGAAAGACAAAAATACACTCGGCGGGAAAAGATGCGCAATGATTGCGGCTTTGAGAAAGGAGATTTTTATTATATAAGGTCACCTGCTTGTCCTGAACCACTCCTGTCACTTAGTTTGTTTTGTTTTGTCTTTTTTACTAGCGCTTCTTGTGTTGTTTCTTTGAGGACCTGAGTTTGATTTCCAGTCATGGTGGCTGCACTTATTCGGAGGCGAAATTCATATTGCAAAAACACCTGCACACTTACACTTATTAGTACGCTTAAATATCGAAATATATAGCCGAATAAATATTAACGTTCACTGATTGACGTTTTAATTATATAAGGGCACGCACTTCCATTGACTAATCATAGTCAGTGAGATTGAAAGAACTGGGTACTCGGCTGCTGACCCGCAGGTCGCAGGTTCGAATCCCGGCTGCGGCGGCTACATTTCCGATGGAGGCGGAAATGTTGTAGGCCCGTGTGCTCAGATTTGGGTGCACGTTAAAGAACCCCAGGTGGTCGCAATAAGCGGAGCCCTCCACTACGGCGTCTCTCATAATCATATGGTAGTTTTGGGACGTTAAACCCCACATATCAATCGAGATTGAAAGAACTGAAACCTGAATGTTGAGCAGATTTTAAGATATGAGTTACGTCACACTTGCGGTATACATGCGTGCTGCTGTTCCTACTGCTTCTTTTGCAACGTCGTTTTGTGCAGTTGAACACAAAGGTCTCGATAATCCTTGCCCACGTTGTGAACGAAAGTATCGAAATGGGTGCCTTTATGGACACCTGATGCTCACAGGCCACAATTTTTTAGCCTCATAGTGTACGAAAGGCTAGTTAACTAGAAGCAATTAGTGCATTTTGTTGATTATAGTGTAACACTGATTTGCCGGCACTATCAATGTCGGTAGCGTGAAATGATCGGCATAAGGGACTGCAATTATGCTATTTGAATAAGTTGACGGATATGAAGGGCCCAAGCATGCAGCAGAACCTTAACCGGACAAAATGACCTCTAGTAAGGTGACATGGCCCAGTGCTGCACTGTGACCTCGACAGTCAGCCAGTTGGTTCACGAATGCCCTTACGCAATGTAACCCGAACACCGTTATGATTCACGCGCGTAAACATACGATTCCCCATATGTCAATCAAATTAAATACGGTATAATTCACTGATAGGCGACTGTAATGTCAAAGTGCCCGAGGGAAGTTATTAGTGGAGTTCGTAGAAAGCAATGGATGATGCATTCAGGACACTTTCCACCAGATGAACCGCAATTGGGCGCGGAGAGAGAGAGAGAATAAGAATGAAAGAAAGGCGGAGAGGTTAACCATGGCTGAGCCCGGTAGGCTACCTTGCACTGGGGAGAGGGTAAGGGGAATGATGGCGAACTTAAGAACGGAATAGACTACATACAGCGCGCGCAACCTGGCATTGTGCATGATGTGAAAGCGTTGCGCAAGGCAGTGGATGGCAGGGTCTCGGATTCACCAAAGACACTGACACGCAAGAAGCCAGAAATGAGTTAGCGCTAAGATGCAGCGTACATAAATTCAGTATTTTGCTCAAGAACAGATATTCGACTCTAACATTAACGTTAAAGCAAACAAAAATATGATAATTTAACTAAACATCATCGCGGGGTGTGCAGTAGAAGCCGGAAGACAGGACCCTATTCCCAGGAGACGAAAAACACCGTCAAAAGACGTCGAATCACGAAAGCTTCAAACGCAACAGACAAAGTAGAACTGACAGCTTTTTCGAAGTTAATCAATATGTATAACATAGCTCACATAAAAAGCTATAAGATGGAGAGCATTGAACGTGCTCGAAAGAACGAACGAAGTTTCAAAGCGTTGAAGAGAAAAGTATAAGGCACAGGTCATAACCAGATGTATGCACTAAGGGACAAGGAAGGGAACGTCGCTACCAATATGGACATGGTAGTTAATGTAGCTGAGTAGTTTTACAGAGATCTGCGCAGTAGGCGGAACATCCAGGACGATGATGTAACAGGTAGTATATAGCCCAACTAGGCATCACCAGTAGCGACAGTGGAAGTAAAGAAGACCTTGAAAGTAATGCAAAGAGGCAAAGTCGCTGATGAGGATCAGGTAACATCAAATCTGTTGAAATATGGTGAGGAGATTGTGTTTGAAAAACTGGCCGTTATAGACATGGTGTTCTTCTGGACGTTTAGAGGACGTTGCAGGAAAACGATCACTTTAATCTACAAGATTGTGGAAGTCAGGCATGTGAAAAATAGCAGGCCGATCAGCTTACTGGCCGTTATTCTCTACAAGCTATCTTCAAAAGTAATAGCTAATAGAATTAGGGCCACGCTCCAATTCAATCAACCAAATGACCAAGCAGTATTTCGTACAGGCTGCTCGACAATATGTACAATGCAAAAGAGGTGATAGCGAAATGCTCGGAATACGGCCAACCACTATAGTGTATATAGCCTTCATGTTACGAGAAGGCGTTCGATTCAGTTGAGATGTGAACGGTTATGAAGGCACTACGGAAGCAGGGAATCGAAGAACCATGTATAAAAACACTGGAGGGAATCTACTACGGCTCCACAGTCCTCCGTAAAGCGAACGACAAAAGAAGTGTGCAAGGCAGCGAAAAGAGATTTACCCAATGTTATTCACTACGTACTTACAGAAGTTTTTCATAGCCCTAAAAAATGGGAACATGTAGAGATACGGGTTAATGGAGAGTACCCCAGTAACTTGCGATTCGCTGATGACATTGAATTGATGAGTAACTACGTCATGGGAGCAACTGCAGCTTATCATTACTGAATTCCACAAGTCAGAACGGTAGGTCTGTACATTATTCCGTAGAAAACTAAAGTAATGTGTATGAGTCTCGAAAGAGAACAGCTTGTATAGGTTTGGACGCACTGGAAGTGGTAAAGGATTGCGTCTACTCGAAACACGTATAATGACCGTGGAGCAGGACCATGAAACTGAAGTAACTGGAGTGGTGAAGATGGGATGGAGCACACATTCTGGAGGAATTCTCAAATCATGATTGGCAGTTTACCATTGTCCTTCGTAAGAAAAGTAGGTAATAGCTACAAATAGAAACCTGGAGGTTCATAAAGAGGGTTCAACTTGAATCGAGGACGACGCTGCGAGCAATAGAAGAATAATGACGGGATAAAACACAGAAAGAAAGCAGGGTTGGTCAGACAAACAAAAAAAACGGGTATCAAGGATGTTTTAGTCTACATCAAGAAGTGAGCATGGGCGAGACATGTAGTTGCTATAATGATCGTATATTTCGTCGTTCGCATCATTCCTGTCGGGTGCATTTTATCTGTGGGTTTACTCCCCCACCAGTGATGATCCCTCTGAAGGATTGACAGCATTTGAAAATAAAATAAATGAATAGCCAAATGGATTATTGTAATCCTCCAGGTACAACTCGAATAAAACTTAACGTCTTTTACAGGTATTCTTTCTGAGACTACTAAAAGTAAACACCGTCTTTCAAATGTTATCGATGTGGAACTCTTTTTCCAGCACTACACAGCTGTTTAAAAACAGCAAACTGGGTAAAAGATATCTGTAAATTGTAAGTTAATATTTTTTGCATAGGCCAAGATTTATCTCCTTCGATTACAAATAGCGAGCATTAGCAGCGCTCAGGCACAAATGCAGTCGTGTCCCAAGCGTGCGGCAAGACTCGTTAGCGGCGTACTGCCTCCGTTTCAGCGCCTTCTTTGAAGCAGTAGTTGATGAGGTGTTGCAACGCGTCATGCAAAGCGTTGTGCTCAGCACACATGCAACCTGTCTTTGTTTCGCAAAAAAAAAAAAAAACAGACTGACTGACTTCAACAAAGCTCCGAGCAAATATAATCCCGATAGAATATTCGTGTACGCAATAAATATAAAATTAGGGCAGACAACGTAAACATGCGCGCTGCCGGGAAACGGAACTCCATGTAATATGGACGATCAAACAAGGGCTGTAATATAAACTTTAAACCAGGGCTGCCTTTTTTTTTCTTTGCCTAATACAATATATCACAAAGCACAACTGAATCAAGCATGGAACCAGCTGTTTACTCTGGATACATAGGTAATATGGTCGTTATTCAATCGCATTAGCTTGGCATCTTTCTAGAGCGAGAGAAAGGAAACGTGTGGAAAACTGCAAGCAAATAACATAACGCCACGCTGTTATTTCCCTTATATGTAACCATATACTTTCTAATTTCTGAATAACGAAAGACAATGACTATCAGCAATAATTCAATCGCTGATATATGTATTTGTGTATACCTGTCCCTTGAAAGGACACTCACCGCCGCCGTAGGCGTAGCAGAGGTATGGGAAGCGCCACACATTCGACAGGTCCACAGCAAATCCAATCACGGACAGCAGGAAATCGGCCTTCTTGCCCCATACTTCTCTGTCACCGGACTTCCGCCCCAAACTGTCCATGGTCGCATCCTTGGGGTCATCGGAGTGGGGAGTCAAACAGACTTCCGTCATGGCCTGAGAGTTGGCGGCCGAATGCTGCTCGTGCCGGTTGGAAGAAGCGGCGTTGCAGCCATCCTCGCTGACCAGCGAAGGCCTGGGCTCGCCCGCCAGTGGCGAGTTTTCGTCTGTTTCCGCCATGTAAAGTGAAGTAGCGTGCCTCTGACAGCGAAAACTTCAGAGCGCGTGTACTTCGCGAAGGGGGACACACCTGTTGCTTAGATCGGGGATCCCTCAGCGCAAAACAACGAAAAATGTAGGATTGCGCGGGGTCTTGATACGTTCCCCAAGTTCACTTGCCAATGGCCGCCCTTTTTATCTACTACTTTTCGTACAACTTAGTATTCCTTCAGATCGCCTGCCCGACGATCCAAGCAGACGACGCGGCCGCACCGCTAAGCAGACGACGCGAGTGCGCTCTCTGCTTCGCGTCAAAGGCACGCTCACAGAGCACGTGATTCGGGTTGGCCAATGGTGTCGCGCGGGTGTCGTCATCTCTGGCCAATAGGTGAGCGACTTTCCCGAAAGAGAAGAGAAAAACCGAGGGAAAGAAAGTTCGGCCGCCTCGAAGCTTTTTCGCTCAACTCTCGGACGCCTTCGCCCGGCTCGAAAAAGTAGCGCCGGAGACCAATAAAGCAGTGCAGTAGCGCGCGGTGCAACGACGACTGCCGGCGGTTGATGGATTTTTGCGGATAAAAGTGGTGCGTGCAGTTTGAAGAGGGAGCGCGGTCAGTCATGCAATGGGAGAGCCACCATTTTTTTCTCTTCTTTGCCCGATCGGACACCTGTTGATGCCGACTAGATTTCCCTTCTCCGCGATGCGGGAGAGAGAGGTCAAAGCTGATCCCGGCCATCGCTGCGCAACAGGTATATTTACGCTCTATAAGGCCCGCGCTTCTATGTGACAGTGCTTAATTGTCCCGTCTGAAAAGCCATCAAACGGGACTGGGTGGACGAGCACAAGTGTTTCTGCCAGTTGTTCGCGAGTTTAGTTTCTGTGTATTTATATACCTGCCCGGCTCGTCAAAAGATCGCAATCTTTAACTCGCGCTGTACTTCAATTCACTCCGTCAGTTACGCTTCGGCAGAGAATGCTTGGACAGCGTCGAATTTAATTGACGTAAGTGAACAGTTGTTTTAGCTATCAAAACAAGTGTACCTGCATGAAATAGCATTAATCCATCGAGTTTTTGTTTTTACTTTTTCACAACCAACCGACATTTATTTCAATCTTATATTCTGATCCCTGGTTCTCTTTCGCTGAAGACTATTTCTTGTCGCAGTTGTGTGATTCGCATAAATTTGCGCATAACTGGGCATGCGAAAAACCCAGAAAGTTGTCTTCACATTGAAGTGGACCTTGTTCGTCTGGTCGAGCGTACTGCGGCAAACACTGATTATTACCACCAATAATCTCGAGCGTGGTTTCTCATTACTATTTAAAGAAAACTTAAATGAAAGGTAGGTGATTTGGAATGTGCACAAATGAGGTGCTTTGTACATGCTGGTGTCTTGGTAAATGCAAGAAGTAAAATGGAAATTTTAAATGCCATTTGGTTTAACGGGCCCACGACGTGGCGGAAAGGTTAGGCCTATCTGTCTTAAAGTTGGAGCGCATATATATATATATATATATATATATATATATATATATATATATATATATATATATATATATATATATATATATATATATATATATATATATATATATATATATATATATATATATATATATATATATATATATATATCGTTAGCTCTTAGGTGGGGGCTTGGCTGTGAACGTTGGGAGTACGTAGTGGATCACTGTGGTCGCTGACCACCACCACATCTCACAGCCGATCGCGCGTCCTGCATCGATTGGCTGATGCGGGTGGGGCGAGTCAGTCGCCGTGATCTCGTTACCAGAAGCCTGCAGAAACGCGTCCTGGGCATCTATCTGGAACGCGTCGAGGGGCCTGCTCGAGCGTCTGAGAACGGACGAAACGAGGATGATGATATTTCCGGTTGGCCCATCGAATCGCGCGTGCTTCGAGCGGCGGCGAACAGGGCATTGCCAACGCGACGCCACCATAGATAGATGCGTCATTTTGTCAGGCCCGAGAGCGCTATGGGGCGTGATTGATGGGCGCGTCCGAGGCCTTCGGCGAGACAATCACCTTATTGCCGCGGTTGTCTCTCAGCAGCCTGCTCCTTGGCCGAGTTTGTCAACCTTTGTTTTCGCCTCGGCCCCGGATCGCCTTGTGTTATTCTGCGATGAGATCGAACTCACGCCCAACACCTGTCGACCGCGCCGCGTGTGCCGGATCACGTTGTGTGCACGAGAATAGTCCTTGCAGCTTTTGAAGGAGAAGCGTGGCCTGGACTTGAGCCATGGACGTGTCGGATATTGTGGACACTGCGAGGAATCTACGCTGGAATCTACACGTCCCACAGCTGGCGGGACGTGTAGGTTAAGTAAGGAAAAAATATATACAACGAAAGAAAGAGACGTAACATTTTATGCAGTAGTCCACCGAGCAGCAGTTTCGGTGCTCGGCTGCTGACCCGGAGGTCGCGGGTTCGATTCCGCTTGCCACATTTCGACGGAGAAGAAATGCTCACTGCGCCATCTCAGAGCACGTCAAAGAACACCAGATGTTCAAAATTTCTGGAGCCGCGGCGTGCATCGTAGCAATATCGTAGTTTTGGGACATAACACGCCAGACATTCGTCAAGCAAAACGTACTTTTAAGGTTTTTCTGACAGTTCAACAGTCGCGAGATTTAAGATAAAAAAAAAAGAATATGCACGACATTTCATTCCGTTATGACTTCTATCTTCGGTGCTGACGAAACCATCGAACATATTTTGTGTCAATGCCCTCAGTACAACCGCCAGAGACAGTCCGTGTCAGCAGTGTTTTGCAAGCCTCGACGACCAACCGCTTTCCGAAAAATTAATTTTGTAATGCCCAAAAGATCGAGCTTCACGCCGAAAAGCGACGAAGGCCCTCCTAAAGTTCTGCGATCGATCTGCCTCGTCGAACGTTTATGACATTTTAGTGTGTGTGTTTTCGCTTCCGTTCCGCTCTTTATCTCATTCCCTTTTCCTTACTTTTCTGTCTCTCATTCCCCTTTCCCAGTGCAGGGTAGCGAACCGGATACTTGCTTTCCGGTTAATCTTCCTGCCTTTCTTCATACCATATATATATATATATATATATATATATATATATATATATATATATATATATATATATATATATATATATATATATATATATATATATATATATTAAAATAGAGGTGTTGTACGTCGAGAAAGGTTCAGACGCAGCTTGGCAAAATGAGCTTTAACAGGCAGGTCTGGCTAATGGCGAACGGCGTGCGCGAGCTACTCCTGCAGCCACCGATCATCCTCGTCTTCTTCATTACCAGCAGAGCGTCCGTCATTCAGATTCATTACAATTACTCCCCGCGAAATAAGGAGCCATCCTGGCGACCTATGGACAAGTAAACACGGGAGGGTCGTAGCAGGGCTTAAGTCTCGAGACGTGGACAATTTCCTGGCCACGACGACGTTGGTCAGAAGATGGTTCCAGTGGCTCGATGACGTAATTCACCGGTGACGTTTTTTGTAGCACACGATATGGGCCGTGATACTTGGGGACCAACTTGGTAGAAAGGCCAGGTATAGCCGAAGGGACATGCAGCCAGACGAGTGAACCTGGATCGTAGGAAGTAGTGTTATTTGATGCGTCATGGTGGTGTTTTTGGCGTCCTTGGTCTTGAGTTGTGAATGATCTTGCCAGTTGGCGGCATTCTTCAGCGTATGTAGCGGCTTGAGACAAAGTCGTGGACTCTGAGGAGTCAGGTTTGTACGAAAGGATGGTGTCCATAGTGCAAAAAGGTTCGCGTCCGTAAAGGAGGAAAAAAGGAGAGAACCCAGTAGTGCTTTGAATGGCGGTATTATAAGCGAACGTGATAAACGGGAGCACTCGGTCCCAATTGGAGTGATCTGACGAGATATACATAGACAGCATGTCACCAAGGGTGCGGTTGAAGCGCTCTGTCATTCCATTGGACTGGGGATGATAGGCGCTTGTAGTGCGGTGAACGACGTGGCACTCACGAAGCAATGCTGTGATGACGTCTGACAAGAATACGCGACCACGATCACTCAGTAACTCCCGAGGTGCTCCATGCCGTAATACGATGTTGTGAAGAACGAAAGTCGCAACGTCCTTTGCTGTAGACGAGGGAAGGGATGAAGTTTCGGCATACCGCGTGAGATGGTCGACGGCAACTATGATCCAGCGGTTACCGTCAGCGGTGTTGGGAAGAGGACCGTAGATATCGATGCCGACGCGGTCGAATGGTCGGGATGGGCATGGTAAGGGTAGCAAGTTACCGCTGGCGTGACAAGGGGGAGTTTTTCGTCTCTGGCACGTCGAGCAGGCCCGAACGTATTGTCGTATAAAACGGTACATGCCACGCCAGTAATATCGGAGACGTATGCGAGAATAAGTCTTCAAGAAACCTGCGTGGCCACATTGGGGGTCGTCATGAAACGTGGAACAAATTTCGGATCGCAGATGACGTGGAATCACGAGTAGCCACTGACGTCCACCGGGTGCGTAGTTGCGTCGGTACAGCACGTCGTCGCGAGTGGCGAAGTGCTCGACTTGCCGACGCAATGTGCGAGAAGGGGGGGAAGCCGTGTGCCCAGCCAGGATGTCTAGAATCGAAGCAACCCAAGGGTCCTTGCGTTGCTCAGATGGCATCTCGGCGATGGTGACGGCAGTGGCATCACAGGTTAGACTTTCGCAGCAGTCCGGGTCAGGGGGTAGCGGCGAACGGGATAGGGCATCTGCGTCCGAATGTTTCCGGCCGGAGCGATAGACCACGCGAATACTATATTCTTGGAGGCGTAATGCCCATCGGGCGAGGCGACCGCTTGGATCCTTCAGTGACGACAACCAGCAGAGGGCGTGGTGGTCAGTCACGACGTCAAAAGGGCGCCCGTACACGTAAGGTCGAAATTTCTCTATCGCCCAAATAATGGCGAGACATTCCTTTTCAGTGAC